CGTTTGTAAATAAATAAAATTCAAATATTCGAAAATATATAATTAATATTTGAATATCGAAATGATTCGGATATCGATCGATTTTTATTTTTTTCGTATTTCATTCTTTTTTTTTTGTATTTTGGTTTTTTGATATATTTTTTCTTCGGTAGATTCTTTTTTTTTTATTTAATTTATTTATTTTTTTATAAAATTTTCTTTTTTAAATTTTTTTTTTTCGTAATTTTTTTTTTTTTTTATATATTCTTTTCGAAATGATTTTCGATATCCGAAATCATTTCGATATTCGTTTTGAAATTATTTTAAAAAACTTTCAAATATTTGATATGAAATTTGTATTTCAAACGGAAACCCTAAATTGAATACTTGCATCTACGAACGAAAGGATGAGAGATTGTTAAAAAAAAAAAAAAAAAATGTATTTTGAAATGATTTTTTTTTTAGTGCATGTTGGAATCATTAACATACCTTACGAATATGAACATTATATTTTCTTTTTCGTTCTTTAATATATCATTCATTCTCTTATTATTTGATTCATCATCCACACCAATCAATTGAACACTTTCTTTTACGAGCGAAACCAAAGCTCTACTATAACAGAATAATGAAAACCAACAAATAACGCAACCAAGCCAGAGCAATGCCATTTGCACAGAAAATGCAATAATCAATTCGCCTCTTCTTCCTTCTCCATTATAATACCCTGATAAAAGAGAACTTGAAATTATCACGACGGTTGTAAATATAAAGATCATCCACATTAACGGTTTCACTTGTTTAGAATTCGGGTAACCATAATGAATTGCCACTTTTGTGATTCATATGTTAATCTGTTAAAACTTAATCGAGGGATTGTAAGAAATATCTGGTATCCATGATAATGGAAATAACGATTAGGAAAAAAATTATATACCACCGTAAAATTGTTAAAGCTTCTCACTAAAGGTAAAAGTCAGTAGGGATCGATAAGACTTCAAAACATTTATTTTGAATGCACTTACGTATGCAAAATACGAATACCCATGCACAAACGTGATCCATCGTTTTAATTTCTCAGACCTCTTTGCACCTTACGTAAAAGGACGCCGATACCATTTAATGATAATATGCAATAAGATCTTCTTTAAAAAATTTTTTTCTTTACAATTGTCTTCCAAAGGATATACCCATCTAACATGAATCGACAGACGAGCTTTAATTAATTAAAATTCAAAATCATGACTAATCGTAACAAACGATACTTACTGACATGGAATGTTATCATCATTTTGCTCGGAGAAACTCAGTAGAGGGTTCGATAAAATTTCTCGGCGTAAATATTAATTTCGATTATATAATTCTGATTCCATTCGAATGTAAACTTTGTGTAGTACGAATTTATCTAAAAAAAATTATAGCTGTACGACTTTATGGCCAACTACGCATTTTTCCGACAATGCTTGACTTTCGGCATGCACCAAGTATAGCAAGTAAATAAAAAGGTCGCGGTTGAATTCTTTGCCTTTCAATATATTCAAATATACATCTGAAAGATGAGAATAGGAAAGGAAATGTTACTTTACCTAAACTTGAAAGGACCATTTTCATTTTAAGAAATTCGGAAAAGATAACGAAAATCATTGGTTCAATCAATACAAAAAAAATCTTTTTTTTTTTTTTTATTTGATATTTGATACTTTTTATTCAATGATGATTTCACTATTTAATAACAATTCATTCAATGCATTTAATTTTGTAGCAGCAAATGGGAAATGGAAGTCGTCATGTGATCAACGCACCGCGAACATCAATTTTTTTTTAATTATCCCAGACCCTCAAACACACCCAAACCCGCTAGAAATTCTAAATGTGAGCATCACCTAGAAGTAGTGCAATACTAGGGACACTCGTGAGTCGAGTTTGGCAAGCCAGGGACTCAACTCCAATTGCAAAAATTCGTTTAATATCGAAGTTGCACAGTGTGCAACGTTTCAGATATTAGACTGAAAAGAACAGATACTACACTTGATCTTAGCCAATAGGCAAGAGAGGATGAGGATCAAGGTAGGTTCATATTTACATTTTATATCAAATTCGTCAAATCGTTCAAATTATGGGATTATCATTACTGCGGTCAATCGGACTTCGGATGTATCGGAAAATACCGGCCGAATATTTTTTTTAGTTTAAAACGGCCAGGAGGTGAAACGGGTACTTTAAACCCATCGTAATAATATCATTTCTGTGAATTTTTTCTTTGTTTTTTTTTTTTTTTAAAAAAAAAAAATCATTTTCATTATATATTACATGGATCATCACACAAAGATTGGTGATTATTTTTTCCGGAAAATCTTGTCTTAATGGGTATTATTAATGCCTTAAGATCTTTATAATTATACAATTTATACCAACACAAAATCCAAGCTTCGACCAATAGATGTCAATGGTTATGTACGTACAATACATCGCATAAAACAGATCAAATTTTCCTGCCTTCGTCGTTTATACGTTTGGAATCGTAAAAAAATTATTAATGATAATCTCAGCTAATGTACGAAATGCAAGTGAATGTTTCATTTTATCCCCTTAGCACGAGTCCGAAGATTGGAAATTGTTCATAATTTCAAAACTAATTATGAGCTCATGTAAATGCAAATGGTTTTGGTCCTTTGTGAATCGCCAAGCGCCAAAACTCAAATTCGATAATGAATAAAATCACACGACCAATGAATGTCAATGGAGAGGACAAGTGGATGTATCGTTGGCCATTAGTCGGACAGCCCTGTATCTCTTTCTTTTTTTTTTTTTTTTTTCATACCATCAATCAAAAATTCTTTGAGAGGTTGGAAGACCCACGATTCCGCATGAAGAGTAATGTAATGGTAATGTTTACTTGAATGAAAATTTATTTCCGTTAGACCTAGTGACAAAGTACTTTAAAAATATTTCTATACCGAGTTAGATGAAGTGACACGAAAAGAACAAACCGATCAAAGAATCGATTTCCAAGCGTTTTAGATGTAATTGGTAAGTTCATATACCGTTCGAGATTGGAAGTTTTGATATTTTCCATAAGGTGATCTTTTCCTTTACATAAGCCAAGTAAGAGAAAGTGTTTTAAATTAATAAATTAAAAGAGATTTGAGGCCAACCGTACATGCATTAGGATGAATATTATAAAGAATTTCTTGTAAGGTTAGGCGATTTCTTAAAACTAAAAAGTTTATTTTTTTGTCATCATCCTATTCGTCCAGATCTTTTGAAAATTATATTAAGAATCCATCGTCGATATTGTTTGATAAAAACCAAAATCTATTGGTTTCTTCCGATTTGCGGATTTGCTATCCGTAAAAGTATTTGAAAGATAATTAATAAATTATCGTAAGGTTTTGTCGATTTTTGTGTCAACCGAAAATGATTGGCGTTTTCTTATAAATCAATAGATTGATTGAACATCAACAAAAGAAAAAAAAAAAAAACACCCAAAGAACCGGAAACTATTACGATCTTTACGTAATTAGTCAATTACTTTGATGAAGGCAATTTAAACCATTAATAAAATTGTATTAGTTATAATTTAAAACCAACGCGAAGTTATGTCATGTGAGGGCCTGACAACACATGATAGATTCAGGAAATTATAACGGTCAAATCAAATGTCAACCTGTTCGATTATCATCGGAAATAGGTTAACAATTATGGATGCAGTTGCATATCCTTGGTATATTTTTTTTTTTTCTTGTTTATTTTATTCAATATATGTTGTTCATTTATTTTATTCATTATATATATATACATTAAATATTATTCTGAAATCTTAATAAATAACGATTGAATTCCCTCCTCTTAAAATTTTGCACAAGGAAAAAAAAGCCCATCCCAGAAATTTTCAATATTCTTTCTTTTTCTCATTCCCTATCTAATAAAAAAAAAAAAAAAAAAAAAAAAAAAAAAAAAGAACTTTTCCCTAGATATTTAATCCCTTGATAAAAACAATGCAGCAACAAGAACAAATCGTCATGGTTGAAGACGTAAAAACCTCGGACAAATATAGTAATAATGACATTAAAGAATGTGGTAGTAACAACAACGATGATGAAATTCAAGAATTCATGAATGAACTTCGTCCGTTATATCCTCCCATTCTAACTCCTGAATCACTAATACCAAAATTTTCTAATTCATCAAGGAAACTTTCAGGAAAGTTCAATAATAAACGAAAGAAAGAACCCAGTGTAAAATTTCCCAATGCGTTTATTGCTTATCGTATGGAATTTTGTAAACAATTAAAGAATAAAAGAATTTGTTTGACCATGCAAGACGTTTCTTATTTTGCCAGTAAATTATGGAAAAAAGAACCGTGTAGCGTTAAAAAGACTTACACTCAATTAGCAAATGACGCTAAATTACTTTATGAAAAACGTAAAGAACTTTTATTAGTTGAAAAAGAACAAAAAGAACAACAACAGCAACAACAACTACTACAAAGTGAATTACAACAACAGCAACAACCTGTCAATTCAGTGAACGTGAATGAGCTGGATCTTGTCACGTCTACTTTGAGTTCTTTGAATTCATCACCTGTTCAAGTTAATAGTAATTTAAAGGACGACCAACAAATCTTTTCTACAAAAGATCAACAGAATCTCATCGAAGCCGATTCTTCAACGAATGTGGAACAAACTTTATACATTGAACAAAATTTATCTCCCGTAGTCCATCCGTATAATATTTTATTTAATGGTTTGCCTCTTCCTTCTGAAGAGTATATCGCGCCACCGCCTGTGCTCCCACAAAGTTATATTCCACCTGATCTCTTTCAATATGAACATTATAGTATACCAGATTTAAAACATCGCATACATTGTTTAGAAACCGAAAGGGAAATTTTAAATAACGTTGTAAATTATTTACAATATAATACAAAATATTCTATTCAATATTCTGGACAATATTGGTAGATTCAAAATTACTGTTATTATTAATTTCGTTTCTTTAATTTTTTTTTTTTGGGTCTCGTCTTAATTTTTAATATTTAATTTTGTTGTAAATATATTAATTTTTTATAATTAACAAAGAACAATAATAATAGCCATAATAATAAAATTTTTGAAAAATGAAATTTCTTGTATTATTTGATACCAAATGACGTTTTTTTTTTAAAAAAAATTCTTCCTTTTGTTGATCAATTATTAATGATTATATAAACTAGGGCCTCTTGCATTATGGATCAAAAATCCATTTCATTTTTACCGATTTTCGATTATGATCATTAAATTTTTGGTTAGTAAACTGATAAGTCATATGATATGTAACGTGATTTCAAATGCGACCTTATATTTAAATGTGTTCTTCATTATGTCAATTCAATGATGTGCGAATTGATAATGGTCATATGATTTTAAGTTTATAAAGGCGCCTCTTTTACTTTTTACATGGCGTTTCTTTTTTTTTCCCTCCAAAATTGAGTATTTTTTAAACGGTTCTTTTTTTTTTTTTTGTTTAATTAAAGGTAAAGAATTATATTTATTCTTTTTATTGGAAATATCTTTATTAAGTAAAAAAAAAAAAATGCTTACAATTTTGTAAAAAAAAAAGGAAAGCAATTCTCTATGACGGATAATACTTCACCACTTCTTGCTGCAACAACACAACCGGATGATACGGTTCCACACGTATTTTTAAATACTTCAATTGGTAATCCATCTCATTCATGGGATTCACCAACAACGCCTCGTCATGATCATCACATATTTAG